GCACACCTGTAGTCCCAGCTAGACTCGGGAGGCTGAGGCAGGAGGATCACTTGAGCCCAGGAGTTCGAGGTTACAGTGAGCTATGATCGCATCATTACACTCCAGCCTGGATGACAGAGAGAGACCCTGTCTCTAAAAATAAAATAAAACAAAATAAAAAATAAAAAAAAATCACAAAACTTGTTTCTGGCTTGAAAAATCATCTGCTGAATGAAAACTTCTCAGAAATGGAAATCTTGTGAATTGTTATGGACTGAATGTTTGTGTCCCGCCCACCCCAAATCCGTATGTTGAAGCCCTAAGCCCAGTATGATAGTATTTGGAGGTGGGGACTTTAGGAGGTAATTAGGTTCAGATGAGGGCATGAGGGTAGGGGCCTCACCCCCATGAGGGGGTTAATGTCCTTATAAGAGGAGGAAGAGAGACCAGAACTCACTCTGCCCCACGTGAGAGCACAGCAGGAAGGTGGCTGCCTGCAAGCCAGGAAGCAAGCCTTCACTGAGAACCGAACCTGCCAGCATCACGATCCCCAGCCTCCAGAACTGTGAGAAATAAATGTCTACTGTTTAAGCCACCCAGTCTATGGTATTTTGTTACAGCAGCCTGAACTAAAACAAGGATTTAACAATAGGTGCCTGTCCAGCTCATCAAAAATACAGCTCACACAGAGGCCTTAAATGTCATCTAAAGCTTAATTCTTTACTAGTTTATTATTTTCCAATTAAATTCTTTGTACCGAAAACATGCTAAGTAAAAGGAACTAGTCACAAAGGACCACATACAAGTTGAGCATTCCTTATCCGAAATGCTTGGGACCAGAAATGTTTTAGATTTTGGAATATTTACATTGTACTTACTGGTTGAGTATCCCTCCTAATCCAGAAATCTGAAATCCAAAATGCTCCAATGAGAATTTCTTTTGAGCACCATGTCACTCAATAAATGTCAGATTCTGAAGGATTTTGGATTTTCAGATTAAGGATGCTCAACCTGTATTGTATGATTCTATTCATATAAAATGTCCAGAACAGGCAAATCCATAATTGAAAGTAGATTCATGGATGCCAGGCTCTTGGGGGGTGATGGCTAAGAAGTGAGGGGCTTCTTTATGGGGCAATGAAAATGTTCTACAATTGGCTGTGGTGGTGGGTGCACAACTCTGAAGATACTAAAAGCCAATGGACTGTATACTTTAAATGGGTGAACTGTATGCTATATGAATATCTCAATAAAGCCATTTAAAAAATTCTTTTATACTGAACACATTTTGTACCTATTTCTAAATTAGAATCCATTAATTTGTTTCCAGTTCCTGAGGTTTCCAAACCATACTAAGGTGAAAGCCAGAAAGATGAGGAAATTTTAATATAACCATTCCCCAGATGCAGACGAGTTACCTGTAGCTCTTGGTACAGTCTTTTTAGCTCCACTGCTGCTGGTCCTGTCAACTTGCCATTGTAAGACTGGAACCCGTTCAATTTTCCTTTCTTTAAATCTTCCAACTGCTGACTGAGCTGATCAACTCTTAAAATTGCAGTCTGTACTTCCTGCTTCTTTTCCTGGAACATGGCACTGAACCTTTCTATTTCGGCAGCTATAATTGTCCACCAAAGAAGAAAAAAACATCATTTAGTTGACATTCTTTTTCACTTCTATACATTGAACTCAACCCTAGTATCACCTAGTGCCAGACCTTGGATAAAATTACGATATGCTTAATCTAAAACACATGATGTGGCTGGGCGCGGTGGCTCATGCCTGTAATCCTAGCACTCTGGGAGGCCAAGGTGGGCGGATTGTTTGAGCTCAGGAGTTCGAGACCAGCCTGAGCAAGAGCGAGACCCCGTCTCTACTAAAAAAAATAGAAAGAAATTATCTGGACAACTAAAAATATATAGAAAAAATTAGCCGGGCATGGTGGCACATGCCTGTAGTCCCAGCTACTCGGGAGGCTGAGGTAGGAGGATCGCTTGAGCCCAGGAGTTTGAGGTTGCTGTGAGCTAGGCTAACACCACGGCACTCACTCTAGCCAGGGCAACAGAGTGAGACTCTGTCTCAAAAAAAAATAAAATAAAATAAAATACATGATGTGACTGCTCATAGAGCAAACAACGATATATGCATTAATTGCTAAATACTCTTTAAGGCAAGCAGTCCAAAAGCTAGCTTGGTCAAGCCACTTCAGAACCTCAGTGTGCCCATAGAACGAACAAAGGCTTTGTGAGGGCAGAGTAAGCCACATCAGCCTCCAGCCTCACTGTGACACTAGCTGAACTGACGAATAAAATCAGAGTCCACACAGAAAAAAAGGGAGTGTCTGTATGGCTCATCGTAATGCATGGATACAATTTAAGCGGTTCAAAGAAAGCAAACACTTGTAACAAGTGAGCCTTCTTGGAGCACCCCCACCCCACTGCAGAGGGCTGCTGTTACCAATGTAACAGAAGGATCTTCCTGCTGCATCCCAGGGCTACAAGAGACCTTTCAATATCACTTAACCTAACCAGCCCCGTCCTTTTAAGGCATATAACCCAGCAAAGCTTTGGCACATTTGCTGTAGAAAGGTGCAGCCAGACTATGTTTCACTTGATCTGGGACTGGTGAAGAGTGGGTGCCAGGTGGGGCCGTGGGCACGTACACAGATTGCCATTCATGATTTTACTGTAGTCCACTTGTCCCCTCATGGCTCGGATTTTCTTCAGCTTGTTTTCCTGGGCTTCAACTCGTTCTTTCAATTTCTGAAGTTTTTCATTTTCAGAAATAGACTGCTGCTGACGGCGCTCCTGTTGCTTTAGAAAATGTAAACGCTGTTCCTAACAAAAGAAGGAAAAATCTAACTTTGAAAATCGAATCTTACGATGACTTTCACACACTAAAAAGAAAAATTTGAATGTATTCCACAGTATCACCCATCTTAATGAATACTAAAGAAACAGTAGAGGAATCCTGCACACATCAGACCACGCGAAACTGAAATTACTGGGCGTATAAGTATGAGGTGGTGAGAGTCTGGCGACTTTACTACGCACGCTGACCTACACCATTCAGTTAATACGAGTGCTCTGGCAGAAAACCTTACAGGAGGAGAACATGCACCGACTAACAACCTCGTCTTCACTCTCACATCTGTGACGTCCCAGCCAGCCTGAGTTTCCTGCTGTCAGTAACATGTTTCCTGTTGCTACAAAGTGGCTCCCAAGAATCTCTTACTTAACTTCCTAAAGGAAATGAGCACTGACCAGCAGAGGACTTTACACTGAAAAGAGATAAAGTAATCAGTAATGAGATAAACCTCCATTTGCTAAGTAACACTGAACAATCAAGGAAGTGTTTTGCTTTCTTCAGGATTAGTTTCTTCAAAAATAACGAAACATTTTATAGTCAAACGATAACAGGACAATCCAAAAATAAAAATATATGCAAAATTCTTCAATAGGTTTTTTTTTCCTATTAATGTGATAACATACCTTAAGGATAACAGTCAACATTAAATATTCATGGTCCCATATGTATGCATAAAATATACCTAAATAAGGAGAGGTTTAAGGTATGATTATGCAGGCATTACATACTACACTTTAAGGTAAGGAAATATGTGCTTAAATATTTCAGATTTAGCATTAACTTGTGATTTACACTGACAAAAATATCTAAAATTTTTTTAACAGCAATACTCTTGGATCAATATTTGGAAAGAAAATAAAAAGCAGAATTAGAAAATTTTATAATTACATAATATTATGTATATTTCATCTTAGAAATCTTATTAATGGGATGAAATGCTTTCTAATTTATTTAACTTTTGATTATTTTTATTATTGTAAATCCAATAAACTTTTTAAAACAGTCCAACTTAAATTATTACTTTCATGAAAGTCGATAGTACAATGAACTACACAATCATTCAATAAATGACAAAATTGGATTGGACATTTGGTTATTAAGAAAATCTCTCTACAGAAGAAAGCAGTAAGAACCTAGCTGGTAATTTTTAAAGGTTCTCTTTAAAGCAGTTGCAGAACATTTTAAGATCATTTACATCAATCATTTCCAGCAGGCATGGGTGATAGGTCTGATTTTTCAATGAAGTATGACTTAGCCATTATTTAAGAAAATTCCCAATCCTACTTTACAGAGTTTCAACAGCAAATGTCAACTTCGGTATACAATGAGCATTATCTGTACCCTGCACGGTAATGAACCAAACAATTTCCGCATAGAGGGCACATCAGGAAGCCCTGTTAACCAGCTGTCATTGTCTTCAGGGTCCCTGCCCAGCATTTTCATCATGGATTGCTGGTTTTCTCTAAACACTAATATCCACTACACAGCTGGGAACACACCCACAGGAAAAAGGAGGTAACAACAGAAAGTATCCTTTCTAAATTTTATCTATGAATTGGATAATGTCAGCCATTTCCTGTTCTTGTGCATGTCAAGGGTCAAATGTCCTTGCTCTGATACCTTCTCAACTTCCAGCACCTAGAGTATGCCTATATTATTACAGAAGTGATAATAAAAAGACATTGTAGTTAGCATTCCCGTGGCATGGTCCTATTTTACAAGTGTTACCCATGAATGTATGAACACCAATCTAAAATGATGGTGGAAGAAGATATCTTTCGAACAGTGTTGCCCTACCTCTACTTTGATAACTTACCTTGGCAACCAACATCTGCTGCTGATTTTCAATTTGCTGTTGTTGCCTAGCTGCCATGTCTTGGAGCTCTGAGAGGGTGAGTTCAACACGTGGATTCCCAACCTACAGAGAACAAAACACACACACCGGAATGTATGCTCATCCGCATAATTGTCTTTCTCTAGTGTCAAAACTCCAACACTTCAGGATTTTAGATAGTTTCCCTAGAAGTTAGGAGAATATAAACTAGTTTATCTTCTCATAAGAACTTTTCCTAATTGTTGATGTTTTTATTATTGTTTAATGCTTTTATTATATATAAATAACAGTTTTTCTAATGCGTAAACATCCAATACTATATTTAGTAAGAGGTTCGACTTTAAAACAAACCTTTGCAAATGTGTATTATAAGTGACTTCCTCCTTCTGGAATGGCGATATAGTAAGTGTATTTGAGCAAATGGGCCTGTCAAATGTTTAAGGATACACAACAACAACAAAAAAAAGTGCAGGTGACACCTAAGGATAAATGTCATCTCATTGTCATGTGGTCTCAAGAAACTGAAATATATAACAGATTCTAAGATACAAACACCTCAGTACAAACACCTTATGTATGGCCTACATGAAGAACTGACATATCATCCGACAGAGTTACGTGAAATAGATACCAAGGTAATGCAGAGCTCCACTCCTGTAAGCCTGTCTTCCTCCAAACCCTCCGGTCCTGACCATGGAGACTGCACGGTCCAGACCCCCACGTTCTCCTTCCAGGTCCACACATACCCGTAGGACCCTTTCTCGTGCACCACTCTTACACCTCTTATCGTTCTCACTCAGTTTCAATCTCTGTTCCTCCAGCTCGTGTCTTCTCAAACTTTTATGGTGTTCAAGCATATTCTTGACTCTTGAAAATTAGGATTTGTTCGACAGTCTTAATTAGAACCCCCATTCCATTTATCCAAACATCCTGAAGAAGCAACATGGAGCAAGCCTCTTTTTCAAAATTAGGTAAACTACCAAGCTATAGAGACTTCCATGTGGAAAGAAATCTGTTTATTCTACCAAAAAATAAAAAAATAAAAACCAGTCTATTTCTACTTTAACACTAATAAAGAGTTACTAATTTCTACCTACTGAGATTTTCTAATCACGACAAAAAGTATTTCTTGAAAGCTTCAGAAGTTTTACTTCATAAAAACTTTTTTGACTAGAGAAAAACTATGTCCATTCAACAAATTTTTCAATTTACATTAATTTCATAATTTTACAACTTGAAGGGAAAAAAATCAAAAACTATTTTTCTAGTCTCTCTTTCCTACCAATGGCTTTGAATAACAAGGAAAAGAGGACAGAAGAGAAATTTAATTGCTCAGTATTCTGATATTTATATCTGTGAACAAGGTAGAGCTTGTAAAACTATTTTACTTAAATCAAAAATTATTTTATTTGCCAGTATATACATTTGTACCCTCTTTATGTTGCATGTGTTTTTCTAACTATAAAATTAAGATATGCCACGTTGTCATAAGTAAGTCAGGCATTGTATCTTATAAATATACTAATATGTGCTGTAATACAATTTTACTGAGGTAGACTTACACACAGAAAGGTGTAGTAAGTCACAGTGTACAGCTCAATGAATTATTTCCCTAACTTGTCTCTGGCTATGATCACCTCCCTTCTGAACTTGTTCCCTAGTTCCTGGCTGCCTGCAAAGGCTGTGCTCAGTGCTGCATGGAGCTTTATAAATGAGGAAGCTCAAGAATGTCCCCACGAGCCCAGCACTGGCAAGAGGCAGGGCAGGACTGAAGCTGGTGCCCACCCCTATGTGGCAAGGCTATTGTGAAGGTGTCAGGCAAACACATTTCTGTATCCTGTCCATGTTCAATACCACAATTCATTTACCCTATATATGCCAAATGCAATCCTAGACACTGTGAGCAATATAGAAGTATAATAGAATGCAGTTGCCCTGTTTTCAGTGAGCCTCTATTCTAATGGAAGAGATGAGAATCTCAGAAGGGAAGCAGTAAGATGACCCCACCAAATTCAACTATGAGGAACAGAGACTGAGCTCAGGTTTCTTTACACTACATTTCACTGGGAAAAAAACCAGCACCTCCCAGGGTAGCAGTGAGGACAATGGAATGTCACATGCACTCTTGCAAAATGCACTGTGCAGCTTGGCAACCACGTTGAGCGGCACATGAGACATTCATAAAAGCAGGACATTTCACTACACCACTCTTGGCTACCCTGGGTCCAACTGTCATGAGAATTATGCGGCTGAAAATAAAAAGATGTCTCTGAAAACCTCCCATTCTCAAACAATAAATCCAAGTAAGAAGCTAAACCCTCCATACATTATCATTCTTGACTTGACAGAAATTTCAAGTATTATTTCACAACACCTATAATGAACATAAACATAATTTTCTAATTTTATGGTCTTAAATTTAAGATGACCAACTTTTTAAAAAAATGGACAAGCGTATGTTCTAGTCTACTTCAGATACAAAACTTCAGAAGTTGCCTTACTAAGTTAACAAAATGAAATAACAGGCCAGTTTAAGAAACACACAGCTTATTTTTAAAATGAACTTTATTTAGGCACAATGTACATACAATAAAACGCACACCCATTTGAGCTTTGCTTACTAATGAGGATCTGTTCTGAGAAATACGTCTCTAGGCAATTTGTCATGGTGGGAACATCAGAGTGCATTCACACAAACCTAGGTGGTACAGCCTGCTACACACCCAGGCTGTCTGGTACAACCTACTATTCCTAAGCTACCAAGTTACTGTACTGAATACCCAGGCAATTGTAACACAATGGTATTTGTGTATCCAAACATATCTAAACATAGAAAAGGTAAAAAAAAACAAGGCATAAAAGATTAAAAAAAAAAATGGCACACCTGTATAGGGCACTTACCATGAATGGAGACTACAGGACTAGAGGTTACTCTGGGTGAGTCAGCGAGTGGTGGGGCGTGAATGTGAAGGCCTGGGACATTACTGTGCACGACTTTATAAACACTGTGCACTTAGGCTAGACAAGATCTATAAAAATATTTTTCTTCAATAAAAAATTAAACTTAGCTTACTATAACCTTTTTACCTTATAAACTCTTTAATTGTTTAACTTTGACTCTTTTATAACACAACACATACTGTACCAATGCACAAAAATATTTTCTTTCTTTATATCCTTACAAGCTTTTGTCTACTTAAAAAAAATTTTTGAACTTTTTTGTTAAAAACTAAGACACAAATACACACACATTAGCCTAGGTCTACACAGGGTCAGGATCTACCCCTACATCGTGTCCCACTGGAAGGTCTTCAGGGGCAGTAACATACGTGGAGCTGTCGTCTCCTGTGATAGCAGTGCCTTCTTCTAGAATGCCTCCTGAAGGGCCTGAGGCTGTTTTACAGTTAACTTTTCGTTTTAGTAAGTAGGAGTACACTCTAATGATAAAAAGTATAGCATATATAGTAAGCCCATAAACCAGTAACACAGTCATCTATTACCAAGTATTATGTGCTATACATAATTGTACGCACTAGACTTTAATAAGACTGGCAGCGCAGATCTGTTTACGTCAGCATCGCCACAAACATGAGCAATGCGTTGCTCTACGATGTCATGATGGCTGAATCATCACTAGGCAATAGGAATTTTTCAGTAATCTTATGGGACCAGCATTGTGTATGTGGTCCATCGCTGACTGAAATGTTACTATGCAGCACATGACTATATACTGCTGGATGTGGAGTTTTTATGTGTTTGTTGTTGTTGTTGTTTTTAGAGACAGGGTCTCACTATATTGCCCAGGCTGAATTCAAATTCCTGGGCTCAAGCGATTCTCCCACCTTAGCCTCCCGAGTAGCTGGGACTACAGGCGCTCACTACCACTCCCAGCCTGTTGAATGTGTTGTGACAATTGCATATCCAGTGTAATCACCACCCAGTCAAGATACAGAACATTTCCGTCACTCCAGAAAGTTCCCTACTGTTCTTCCCAGTTGATTCCCATCCCTTCCCAAGGCAAGCACTGAACTGTGGGGTTTTGTTGCTGTTGTTACTTTGACATGATAGACTTTTCTGTTTAGTCTAGAATCTCATATATATGGAATCATACAGTGTGTACTTCTTTGCGTTTGGCTTCTTTCACTCGCCGTAATGTTTCTGATACTCATTCATGTTGTTGCATGTATCAGTAATCTGTTCTTTTTCATCTCTGCATAGTATTCCACTGCATGGACGTATCACATTTTGTATATCCATTTCTCTGTTGATGGACAACAGGTGGGTTGTTTCCACTTTGTGGCTATCAGGAATAAAGTCAATATGTAAATTAATGTACCAATATTTATGTGGATAAACATTTTTGTTTCTCTTAGGTAATCAATGTCAAAAAGTGGAATAGGTGGGTCATGTGGTAAGGGTATGTGGAAATGATAGAAACTGCCATACTGTTTTCCAAAGTGAAGTGTCAATTTATACTCCCACCAGCAACTCATGCGAGTTCTAGCTCCTCTCTATCCTTGTCAACACGTGGTGTTGTCAAAAGTTTGGATTTTAGGCCAGGTGCAGTGGCTCATATCTGTAATCCTAGCACTTGGGGAGGCCAAGGCAGGAGTATTGCTTGAGGCCAAGAGTTCGAGACCAGCCTGAGCAAGAGCAGGATCCCCATTCTCTACAAAAAAATAGAAAAATTAGCCGGTCATGGTGGCATGTGCCTGTAGTCCCAGATACTCAGGAGGCTGAGGCAGGATGATCGCTTGAGGCCAGGAGTACAAGACCAGCCCAAGCAACATAGTGAGATCCCATCTCTACAAAAATATTTAAAAATTAGCTGGGTGTGGTGGTACAGGCCTGTAGTCCCAGCTACTCAAGAAGCTGAGGCAGAAGGATCGCCTGAGCCCAGGA